GGTGCATATGGGGAGATAGGATAAAGCCATGAGAGCTAAACTAGTTGCAGATGAAGTTTTTCTCCTTTGCCTAGTAGATTGCTTATACGGATAGCAGTTGAAGATTTTTAATAAAAATTCAGGGGGAGGAGGACCAGAACTACAGAAACCTATAAAAAAGAACTCTGAACCGTAGAAACTACGTCTTTTGCCATAATACATCGTGCTTGCTTTTCTTAAATTGATTTCTGATTTTTTAAAATATATGTATCGACAATTAGAAGCAGTTTCAGCACTTTTCTATCTCTTCTTATACCGAAAAGCAAGGTGCAAAAATTCATTATTTTATTTATGTAGATAGCGCAGAAATGTCCTCCAAAGTGCATTTTTCATGCCTTTTAAAATGTTGTTTCCCAGATTTTACCATAGCGTTTCCAAAACTGTATAAGACAAAAGAAGGTAATTGAAACTTTCACTTAGATTAATATGTGGGATATCACAAGTAGGAAAGTAAAATGTGACACTTGTACTTCTATAGAGCCTCGTCAGAAAACGGTGAGGTTATCAGAAGTTTCCCGTATCCTCCTGGTGACAAGCATAATTTAGCTAGAACATCTATACAACTAGCAAAACAGCTTTCAAAGAAAGGTTCTGTAAGAGTTAAGATTTGAAGTAAATGCTGAAGTAATATAACGTTTTCAAATTAATATTAAACATTCCTTAAAATGAACAGAATTTAAAATTTTATAAAAAAGCTACACTTAAATATATTTATACAGCAAACAGTAGAACTGACTGACTTGGTATAACTGACTAGCTGTCACTGATTTTTTCCCCCTAAGTCTTGCCTAATTTTTGTTTTACTGTTAACTGAATAGGCTAATCTAGTTCTCTACTAAATTTTCCAAATTCATTTATTTCTAAAAACGTGCTTTCTTTAATGATATTATAATGGATTTAAGAGTCATTCCATTATTTTCTGAAAGATGTATATAGTAAGCTGAACTAATAATGTCAGGGGTTCAATGAGGTTTCCGTGGCTACCACGCTCTACAAAATTAAAGGAGGATCAAATGTTAATCTCCCTGATAACTACACGCCCCTAGAATTACCACCTATTTTAGTTCATTACAGTAGGATGTTTAATATGGAAACCTGATTAACCTGATGAATACGCTAAGCATTTTTCCACATCCAAATAATAATGGGGATCTCAAAATTGCTAATTCACACTAATGACCAAATATCCTCTAAGAGTTACTGAAACAGACAAGGTAGTGATCAAACCACAAAATAAACACACTCAAACTAAACATTAGCTGTACTTTTCTCATTTAAGATGTCTGCAGTTAATTGCAATTTTATACAGTACACCACTGTATCTGTTACTATGGAACTTAAGATACCTGATACAAAGCTATGTTACTATAAAACGTCTTACTGAGATAGTGATTGTTCTGTAAAGAATGACAGCACCCTCCTGTCCACCTTTTCAAAGAAATTGGAGTGATTCTACTAGAAGTCACTTTTCAGTTTTCAGAGATCAATATTATACATTTATTAGTAAATGTATATTTATTATTACTTTCTATTTTTATGCAAAAAGTGAATATAATCTATGCAGAAACGCTTCAGATAGTCCTAAGTAGTAATTACAATTGTTTGCTACATACAGAGAGGTGAAAAGGCTTTCCTGCATGACATCTGCCTGAAGTCCTACTAAGTGGCTATATACAAACCATTTGTATACAAAAGGGATATATGCTGCACGTGAGCTACGCAGGTAACACTTCTCATCTAGAAACTCATTCATAGACTACCCGCGTGGATTCCACTTTAAGTGCAATACAAACAACGCTCCATTCTGTCCAGCTAAAAGATCCCAGGTCATCCGCATCATTTCTACGTTAAGTATGAAAGGTGAAGAGTTACAGATCAATTTCCCCGTGCAGATTCACGGCGGGCTTTACCGAAAGACAAAGAAGCTTTTACCTGACTGGATTCTGTTCCAGCAACACTGAGATCTTGAATGGATCTGCGCCTCTGCTGTCCGTTTCCTGCTGGGAAAAAAACAAAACAAGCCAAACCAGTGAAATCTGTTCAGAACAAAATAAGAAGGGTGAGACTGTAGCAGAGGAGCTTGGAATTTGTACAAATCCACAGAGAGAAAGTGAGAGAGGGGGAGAGAGAGAGACAGCTGCAGAATTTTAACTCAAAACATGCTGGCCTGTCAACAAAAAGTATACCCTAATACAATAACCACTCCTACCACATGAATAGCTCCTGCACTCTACTCCACCATCTTCTGTCACATGTATTGGACCAGGCTTAGTACTCGGGGCAGGAGCTGATGACGACATCTATTTCAAGTGCGTTACGTTATGGGGATTTCTAAAAGCTAGACTGCTAAGATAACACGCTGCCAGCTCTAACCTGTTACTCTTTGGTATGCTTAAGAAACATAGCAAGGGCTTCTGCCAGCGTTAGGCTTTCCTCGCTAAAATAATTAAGAAGTGAAAGTGCTTTCTTCTGGTTGAAGTGTGAAAGCTCTCTGTCTTCTTCATATGAACAAAAACATGTCCTAAACTATGTCCTATTCCCATGCCCTAAAAAGTGTGAAAAAGGAGACTGTTCAGCTAAACCGCATCTTGCTGTCAACCTACCGAACGCAATGCTGTAATCTTTTCCTCTTCTCCTTCCACCTGTTAGCAATTATCCACTAGTGACAGCTATAGACAACAGCTCAAATTGTAACACTGACACTCAAAGGCATTTCCAGGAAACCAAGTCTCCGCAAAAATAAAGTAGATTATGCAACAGAACCTCCCCAATCACTTTGATTTTTATTGCTGTGATTGTTTATGTGGTCTCTTGAGAGCAGGTCAGCTGTCCAAAAGGAAACACCAGAACGGCCTGAGTAACAGCTGACAATGCTCAAAATTCTTGGTCTTAGATCTGCATTACGTAACTTTTCTGCTAGCGGGTAGCATTCGAAACACGTACTACGGCAGTTGCAGCCCCTGGCCCCCACAGTCCTCAACAGTCAGCACAGCTCCCTCACCAATGGCTGGGAACAAGCACCTAATTTTTTAGCTTCTTGGATTTTTCTTTTTTCAGTATCATTTCAGTATTACTTCACAGCCTTTCTTGATAGATGTTTTGATTCGTAGCAATGACTACAAAAATGTAAAACCGTTTACCTAATGTTAACTCATCCCTTTTTAAGGAATCATAATTTAGAATTCTAAATATCAGTTACTATTGCATGTAGGAACACACTACTACAAAGCAGCAATACAAAATACCGTGTCACTCTACCAGTTTGTCCTGACATTCAATATTCTAAAATCTCCAGAAAGCACTGTGAGAAACAAGCATATCAGTACACGGAGAAAGATTCTAGAAAGGGAAAACAGTCTTTGCTTTGCCTGTAAGTGAATTTGAATTGCAGCTTTTCTGTGGCCTTGATGTTTTGCTTCTGAAATTCAGAGAACGTAGATACTTACCTAAGCAACTATGACTCTATCGCGTTTAATACCTCTTCAGGAAGATATTAGAGATCATGTGAATGACAAAGGTACGTCAAAATTTTTGATCTTGTTCGTTATAAAGTAAGTACTTGACCATTTTAAAAAAAGATTATACATTTAACACAATTATGTACTACAGATACTTCATCCGACTGCCATAGTTCATCTCGATACTCAAGATACGGATGATCCACCCATGACTGACACAACAATTATGTGCACATTTCATTCATCAACACTGTTCTAAAATTAGCCCAGCCAAAAAAAGCCTGTAAAAATATCTGAAATTCTCATTTCAGAGTAGCAACATTTGTGAATTTAAAGAACCCGGCACATGTGTTGCTGAAATATTAGATCATGGTTGCCAAAAAGTTAAAATAATCAGGGTGGGGTGCACAAAAGAAAATGCTTTTGGAGAAGAAAGGGAGGCCAAAACTATTGTGTGGTAATAAATGAACACCTTTACATGAAAAATCTTCAAATTAGTAGCATGAGGGAAAAAAAAAGAGCAAGCTCTACTAGACAATGCCATTTGAATTAGTGTAATTACTGCAGACATCTGGCAAATAGCTTAGACAAAGCAGAAAGAGATCAACAAACCAACAAATACTTATTGCTCCAGATTCAAGATTAATTTCAATTGAAGAATATAGTATACACCATTAAATCTTTATTTGAAATTATTATTCCTACTTCTCCATGCTTTCCTTGTGTGGCTTTGGTCTTGTTCTTACCTCTACATCCATTTAAAACTTAATTTTTCCTCTTTGTAAGAACTATAACAATTTTTTTAAACGTCAAAAAAAAAAAAAAACAAACCCCAAAACCAAACCAAACCAAACCAACAGCATTATGTAATATACAGGTGCACCACGTCAGGATTGCAACAGTCTACAGGATTTTAAGGTTACAAATCAAAGGGAATCCAATCACACATTTGTTTTGAAATGGCAAGCTTTAATGAAAAGAGCTCTGAATGCCTCATAACCATCTGAAGTAACGGAAGAACTTTTTTTTCCAATACAGTTCTAAAAAAAAAGGTTGAAATGAGCTAAAAAAATTTCCTGTGGCAAGGGTTAAAAATAATTATACTGAAATAGAAAGATACCCTACGAAATCATACGCCACTTATGATTCAAATGTTTAATGTAACATAGTTCTAGAAGTCCTAAAGACTCAGATCATTTGTAGAGTCAGGCTTTCAGCTTTTCTCAGTGTACCTATCTTGCAGGTGAGAGGTACAATTACTGGAACGTCCAATCTATGTTCTGTTTAGTGAGACATAAACATATAAACTGTAAGGGTACAATGGAAGTGCAGCAACAGAAAAAAAAAAAGGACAGGTAGGAGAATGGGAGAAGGGAGGAAAAGAGGCTCAGAGGAAAGTATCACTCACTGAAATATCTAGGAGTCAAAAATCAAGAGAAATAACAACGCAGTCATTAGGGTCTTATACAAGTTTGAGGCTGCAAAGTGTTACTTGTAAACGGTAATTTTAGATGTGTTGACAAGAAAATATTTGAACTGCTAAGGTATATATTCTCTTCCATTCATTTCCTTTGTTCTATTTTATTTTCCTTTCTGCACTTTCCCTTTTTTCTTCCTCCAGCTCTTTCTTCCTTTTCTCACAATATATTCTCTTCCTTCTCGCATTACTCTCATTTCACTCCTCACCTTCTCCCCGCTTACTCTCTCCTTGCTGCTTTAAGATTCTTGCATTAATTTTTCCCCATAAACATCACAAACATATTTCCTGGCCTCAAAACAACAAGCTGCTTGACACACACAGACACTGCTTGCTCTCCTCTCGTTACACTAGTAGTATACTGTTTGCATCCCTTCAGCCAAAGTACAAACTCAGTCTCCGTCTTCTAGCTGTCCTGTTCTCTCATTCAGATTCTCTCTCATTCCTCTTTCTTTCGATTTTGTGCTTGGGAATCTTCTCGGTTCCTCCTTGATCATGTTCTCCCTTTCTTATTCATGCACACTGCTCCCAAGCCCCTTCTCAGCCAACACCCTTTTCGGACTTCTGTAAGAATCAAACCTCACTTAGACTGCAGCATGGTCAGTGAATGTAATAGTGTTAGTAGACAAAAAGGATAACATTTAAAAGAAATGAAGATAACTGGCCTGAATTCCAGAAGAATGAAGTGATCTGGGGAGACAAGGGTGGGATTTCTGGCATATACTGGTTTTAAAAATGTATAGAAAAGCTATAGACTAAAGCATCTATAATTCCTATGCACTATCTAAAGATACTCAGCAAAATGGCTCTATCTTGAGTAATCATTTATGCAGTGTCAATGCTATAAAAATCCTACAAGTCTGTGTGGTACCGAGTTTTACATGACAAGATTACAGACCCAAATACATATATACACACACACACACACACACACACACACACACACACACACACACACACTATACTTTCAGGTACCCTTGCTAGATGCTGCTTGACTGATTTGCATCCAAAAGGTGTTCTGTTTATCTGTCTTGACCATACTACAAACTATATTCCCACTTTTTTTCTTTAAACATGTGGCTATTTAAATCTGCAGTGGTTCCTAGGGTTTTATTTTACATATATATATTTTTTTACATAAAATAAAACGTTGGTGTGTATTATCTATGCTATAAAGGAAAGGAATACTTCACTTGGCTAACTTGTTGCACATTACAACCACTGAAAGGTCCTCTACCAAACTGTTAAGACTAAAGACCTGCCTGATTTTTAAGTTTTGTATGCTAGTCACAAAACACAGCATCTTAAGTGAAAGAAAGTTCTATTCACAGTTATTTCAAAATATTTAGAAAGAACAGCAAATATACAGTAGAAAATTTCTACTCCTGGAAACATATTACCCTCGAGCTAATAACAATTTACATTTTACAACCTAAGCAGCATAACCAGTTCATGGACGAAAGGAAACGTATTACAGAAAACAATGAGAGCAGATGTAGCACTCATACTTCTAAAATAGCCCTACCCCAAAGCAGCTGACTCATGGGAACATGCCTGCGTGGTGCCCCGCGCTCTCACGGAAGCAGCTGCTTCGCCATGTGCTCTGCAGACCTGCACGCAGCAGCAGCAGTGAGCGTCCGCGCTCACGCTGCGCCGGGGGCCGCGGGAGCGACGCGCCGAGGAGCCGGGTATGCGGCAGAAAAGCAGGTAATGGGGTGGGAGCCAGTCTCGGTCCCGGTTCGGGGATGTCAGAAGTGTAATTAGAAAGGGGAAAGTGTGTCAAGAGGCCAGGATTCATGGCCGTGCGCTGAGGAGGGAACAGAATGAGGTGAGAAATGGGCTACGTTATATTGTCTTAATATTAAGAACTGAGCAAGGAGCTTTTGAGAAACACCGCTTTAAGTATACAGCTACATACAGTTACTTTGCTGTGCAGATAATCACCATCCCTTTCGCATAATAATTAAGCTCTACTTTAAGAATAGGAAATGTTCTTTTTTTCTGGCCCTGTGATTCGTACTGGAAAGCTGTTCTGACAGCTGGAAAGCTCTTAATATACAGTCCAGACTTATTTGTAGGCAATTTGCATCTTTCTTCCTTAGTGCCTATACTGTC